ACATTCCCTGAACCCCATGGGGTTCAGAAAGCTTCCAGGTTGCTGAATAGATCAAGATGCTGGGAGGGTGATGCACTGAGGAAAGGCTTGTAAGTGCTACACTCTTTCCCCTCATACTTTGCCCTTGACATCTCTTCCATCTGGTTGCTCCTGAGTCATATCCACTATAATAAACCAGTAATCTAATTAGTAAACTGTTTGCCTGAGTTTTGTGAGCTGTTCAAGCAAATTATTGAACCTAAGGAAGGGATCATGAGAACTCTAACTTATAGCTAGTTTGTCAGAAGCACAGGTGACAACCTGGACTGCAACTGGTATCTGAAGTGTGGGTATACTTCTTGTACTGAGCCCTTAACTTGTGGGATCTGATGCTAACTCCAGATAGACAGTGTCAGAATTGAATTGAATTGTAGAACACTCAGTGTCTGCTGGAAAACTTAACTGAAATGTTGTAGGTAAAATCCCCACACACCTGGTGTCAGAAATGAAGTACTGAGACTAGTGGTAGAGTGCTGAGAGAACAGAGTTCTTTTCCTTTCGTTCTTCCAACTAGATTTTTAACTTAATCCATCTTTTAACTCCAGTACTCGAGGTGACTTCTATCCTAGTACTCAATAAATGTTAGGTGAATGAACATATTTTCTCAAATACATGATAATTAATTAATTGGTAGCCAGGTTCCACACACAGTTATCTAACAGCTAATATGGCTAAAACACGTAGCCTTTCAGCAATTAGAAAGTAAAAGGATGGTTCTTACTTGTAGATTTCATCTTTGTTCATATATATTTAGCTAGTTAATTGAACAATAGCACTCTTTTTTTCAGTAACTGTTTAAATACTTCCGTAACTTAGTTTGAAAATCTAAGAAATATAAATATATTTGTGTGCAAAAATGTGTTCTTGGCTATTTAAATTCTAATCTGGAAGCCAAACACCCATTGTTACCATAGTCAAATTATCTGACCTCAAATACAATTATCAAAGTGCCTATAATTACAGGAAAAAAAATACTCAAATTCCTAATCCTGGTATTTAGGACCTCCACAATTAAACCCCAATTTACCTTTCATGCCATTCCTCTTCTTCATGCACGCTGTACTCCAGCCAAAGTGGAACTCTTCCCTTGCCTCAAGGATCTATACTTCCCTCCTTTTATGTCTTAGATTTTAATGTCTGCTTTATTAGAAAGTCCCTCCACCCACTTGCACTAACTCAAATCTTAAGATCCTTTATATATCATTCAAATACCACCTCCTAATCCTTCCCACTTCTAGACGCAATCTTTCCATCCTCTCAACTCATATAAAGTGTCAAAGATAAAGTGCTATAATTTTATTTCAAGTGTACACAGTTATGTATCTTTACTCTCCCCATATTTAATAATAAGGGCAGGTTCTATATGTAACTCAACATTGTCCAAAATATGTTCCATGGAATTCACTAAATTAAGCAGTTGAAAATAGAAGACTCATGGTCAACTAGTTTGGGAAATACACTTTTCAGAAACTTTAATATACTACAGTATGTTTTAACTCTCTAACAAAACAATGCCCACTTCCAAAAATTATTTAGCCTCTAAACCATATTGGTTTTTTTGTAGCACATCTCATAGGATTACTTATTCTATGGCATGCCTTTGAGACACACAGCCTCATTAATCTTGGCACCTTCTTTTGAACTTAATAGGTACTCAACAAATATTTGTTGAATGAATGGGTAATTGACCCTGGTTAACAAAGAACTCTACCATATAGGCAGCCTGCCCAAAAAGAAGACTTCAAGAATGACAGGAGAGAAAAATATCAAGTGAAAGAGAAGTATAATGTCCCTAGTCGTGCAGTAAAGAGACAAATATCTGTGACAACAGAAGAATTTAGTACCCCAGCCACTTTTTATATGCAGAGAACATAATTTTATATGTAAGGAACATAATCTAAACCACACAGGAATGCCTGTTTACAATGTCCACCCTGAGATAATAATTTAGAAACACCGGAGATAGAAACTTTCAGAAAATTTGCCAACAAGGGTTGAAACTCTGAAGGTATTCTGGTCAATCTCCGGGATATTATACGATTAAAATAACTGCATCATCTGTTATTAAATCATTTCTGCCAAATGAAGAAATATCTTGGAGTTTGATTTTGTTGTATGAGGATGTTTACATTATAAAAGGAAGTCTCATAGATTCAACAATAAGATTTTTAAAGAAACAGATTTAACAGTTATGAAACTTCATGGACTCAAAGCATAATTTTGTATTAAGTTAACCTCTTCTTCCATGTGGAAATGAAAGCAGAATTCAACTTAGGAGTGCATTAAAATCAGGATGTATAAACACAAAATATCCTGAGTACATCCTGACCTCTGTTTCCTACAGTTCTCCAGCTGTGACTAAAAAAGGGAAGAGAAAAAGACACTTCCTGACATCTCCTACAATCTGGATCCTATGGTAGTAGCAACAGGAAATGGCAGCGATGACTGAATGAGGTTATGTTTTTTGTTTTCCTCCTCACTCTAAAGCAAAGAGACCAACTTTTCACTTAGGGATGAAGACTTATCCAAGAATAGTCCCCTGTAGGCTGAAAAGATAATTACATTTCTTAATTGTAACTATTTACATTTAATTGTAACTTTTATTGTAATATGCTTTTAATTTTGATGAAGCTACAAAAAAGGTCACATGAATTAGGATCTATAAGCATGTTTAAGGCTGCCCTATGAACCCTTTGGCCACAGGACTAGTATGCCTATGCCATCACTGATCAGTTAAGTGAGTATTTCCAGCTATACATAACGAGTCACTCAGGTTAAACCCTAATATGGTTCACCTACTTCACTAAATAGTGTTAACACTAGAAAGCAAATATATATATATATATATACACATATATATTTCTCAAGAAATATATTTGTTTGCATTTTTCTATCTCTTCCTTTTTATCCTAGGGGTAAGGAGGGCAGAAATCATATATATTTTCAATAAAATTAGGTGACTCATGGCCAAACATTAAAGAAAAAAAGACATAATATTCTTGGAGACACAAGTGGGAATGTCAAGCAGGATTCATTAAGTCACAAGTTAATGCCTTGGGAACCATATAATAAAATGATAGTTTTCTATTAATAGCTGGCCACACATTTCATTTAGTAAATTAAAGATTGCAACTTCATAAACCGTTTTCTACCTTTATAAGATGTGAAAGATAAAACAAGGAACTATAGAACTACTTAGTATCTTGCTCAGGAACACACAGTCACAGCTTTTAACAAAAGAATGTCTCCCTGCTCCTGCATCAATCAATAAACAGATGGCACAATTTTGGAATTAGGCAAGTTAATAGAATACACCTCCAACATACCTGAGAACATACAATTAATATTTCCGAATTCTTTCTTGTAATTATAATCCTTCACTCAAAAATTACTATGTATTAGTTGTCATAGCGATAGTATATGAAATTCCTCCCCAAAAAAGCATTATCTACCCAAGAACTGACAGGAACCCAAAATCTAAGTAACAGTAACAAATGAAAAGTTCCCAATTGTTGCAAAAACTGTGACGTTCACATTTTAAGCGAAAAAACCTGCTGACTCTTAAGCAGAAAAAGAACCCAATTTTCACTCGTGGAGAAATTCTCAGTTGTCAACTGTACTCTTCTCAATTATTACTTAGCCTTTTTGTTACTCAATTTGAAACACAAGCACACACAAAAAGGGCCTTTGCTTTCTTTTTCTTCACTTTTCTGTTTTCATTTCTTTCACAAAAAGAGACCCTTCATATTTCATTGTCTGGTGGTCCAAGCAGAATTTTCCTGTTCTATTTATCTCAATCGCCACAGCTTCGTCTTACATGGAATTTCGCTAAGTTAAATTTTAAGTTGGAGAGAGTGAAAAACGCTCAAGGAAAACACATTAGAAAGCTCATTGTCTCAGGCGCTAAGGATTCTTTATAGCTTGCAGTGACGTGGGTCTTAAAATCCATTTAAATTCCCGGAGACCCGAACAAAAATGTTAATTAACCAGTTTCACCTCCCCCTTCAGTCTGAAGACTGAAGTAGGCCTTTATTGTCCTAAAAAAAAAAAAAAACCACTTCAGCTTTTTTGAATGTAAGGGGAAACTGGCAGGCACCTGAGTGCCACTTGTCACGTTTACCAAGAAAATGATTTTAATTACTCAATAGTCGTCCCAGTCTCAGGTGGCCCCCTCAGAATATTGCGCGAAGATCCAAGCGACGAGACGGGGCTCGCCCAACCTGGGGCTGCCGGCTCCTCGCTCCGCGCCCTGAGTCAGCCCTTCCCACTCCTCTCATTCTGAGTCCACCTTCAACCCCTAAACCTCCGAGGCCCCCCCTCCTCCCTGCGGACTCCAGCCTCGGCGCCTGCCCACCTCCCCACCCGAGGGCCCCCCGCCACCCCTCCCCTCCCCTCCCCTCCCCTCCCCCACTTCACGCTCCGCCCGCGCCGCCACCGGAGCCGCCACCCCACCCCCCGCCCGCCGCACCTTTCCTCCCCGGGCCGCGGCCGCTCCGCCGCCCGCCCACCTCGCTGCCCGCGCCCGCGGCCTGCCACTCCCCGAAGAGCCGCAGGGTCTCACCTCGAAGAGCTCGGCCGTCGTAGCCATCCCGGCCGGCTGAGAAGCTCGCCTCGCGCTGGAAGCCGTCTCCTCTTCACATGCTGCGCCTCAGCGGCGCCGCGCACAGGTCCCCGCTCGGCTCGTCAGCCCTGGCTCCGGGCCGCCGCGGGCTCCCCCACTCCCCACAGAGCCCAGGCGGGGCGGGAGGGCGGCCATGAAGCGAAGCCGCAGACGCCTGTCAGCTGCCTCCCGGCGCCGCCCGCGCCGCTCCCATTGTCACCGCCTCGTACGCCGGAAGTGGAGCTGCGCGCGCCCTGTTGGCTGTCGGGAGGGGCCGCGGAGGGAATCCAGCAGCCGGCGAACTGCAGAGAGACTGGCGGCTGGGGCGGGCGAGGAACCCTGACCCTTGCGGGCCACCGTCCCGGAAGTGGGCCTTAGAGGAAGAAAGGCTCGGAGTTGCTGAGGAGGAATGCTTCTCGAGGTTCTGGGTGAGGGTTCACAGGGCTTTTGTGGCATGTGTTGACAGGAGGGCCTCGGAGGTTTGAGTCACTTCCCCTGAACGAGCCTGCGTCTCTGCTGAGCCCAGCCTGTCTGTGGCGGGCCAGAAGGTGGCACAGGTTGGGTGAGCCCAGGATCCTCCGGTAGGCGCCCGTCTGAGAAAGCCGGCCTGCGCCTTTTATCCGTGGCGACCTTGGAGAGGAGTTGATGCTTTAGTGGCTTATCATGGCCCAGCGGGCAGTGTGGCTTATAAGCCACGAGCCGGGAGCTCCACTTGGCGGCACCGTCAGATTCTCCAGGTAAATGCAGTTTGAATTCTCAGGGGAATTGGATGGAGCGGATGGGTGCTTGATGTACTGTGGTTTTGGGGGGTGTCTTTCTTTGTCCGCCACTTTGGGCAAGTTACCTAACCTCTTTCATCTGTTAAACGGAGATCTTAGCACTGCTACTTAATAGTGTTGTGAGAATTAAATGAGTTGATGTTTGACACATACTAAGTAAGCATCCTGTGCTTTTCAGTGTTAGTATTACTATCTTTTAAAAAATATATGCTTTTTATTTCTTTATTTGACAGAGCGCGAGCACAAGCAGGGGAAGCGGCAGGCAGAGGGCGAGGGAGCATCAGGCGCTCTGCTGAGCAGAGGCCCCCAGGTCGCGGGTCTGGATCCCAGGACCCTGGGATCATGACCTGAGCGGAAGGCAAAACCCTTAATGGACTGAGCCACCCAGGCGCCCCAGTATTACTGTGCCTTTAATTAACTCCACCTGCTTAGTAATTGAGGTAGAGATGACCAAAGGAAGAGAAGGAGACTTACTGCGCACTAATAAACATGCTTCAAATTTTTATACTTTCGTTAATAAAGATCATTCAAGGACTTTTTTAGCTCATTCTTCCAGAAAATTTTTGCTGAGCAGTGAAAGACCCATCATTTTCGTATTGTGTTTTCATTGTTAGGAACTTTCAGATGGGTTACTTTGAAACTGCTAATTGTTGAAGGAAATCAGAAAAGTACAAAAAATTAAATCGTATTCACTTTTTCTTAGAATGGTGTAAGCTGCTGATCTGGCTCCACTCTTAGAATTTGCCGCAAATTCTTTCAAAATTGTTCTGGGATGAGAATTACACGGTAACTCATTATAAAATGCAAGTGGCAGTTCTGTAATCTGTATCACCTTTTATTCTTAGTGGCTATTGACAGTTCTTTCTTGCCAACATATTTATTCTTCCCTGACTAAAGCTCTGTAGGGAGGAGGGATAGCTCTGTATTGAGATAAAGGCAGATAAAGAGGAGTGTGATTTTGAATGGAACTGGTTGACAGTGTGGATATGGAAGATTTCCTCTTCACAACCTAAACATTTTTTGTTACTGAGGTTATCAGAATTAAAGTTTACCGTTTCTCCCAGCTTACCTGGCTTACTTTGTTATTATTGTAGCTCAAGGAAGGAATTTAATACTATCTTTTAGTATGGTTCAGGAGCCCCATTGGTTTATCCAAGGTACTTATAGAGTCCTTTGAGTATTTTTCTTTTTGCCTTTCTTTTCCTCCTCACAGGTAACTCTTTGTTGCTGTCCCTTTATTTGTGTGTCTATGCATTTTTCGAATTATGCAATTAAGTATGTACTAGCTACAAACTTCATTTTCTTTTCTTATATTTGCCAGACTTCTCAGCACTATTTTTAAGAAACATCCATGTTACTTTGTGTTCATCCAGAGCAGCACTGTTCAATAGAATTTTCTGCAATGATGGACATGAGAAATGTTACGAATCTTTGCTGTTTACAATTGTAGCCAGTAGCCACATGTAGCTATTTTGATTTTGAAATGTGGCTATTATAACAGGAACTCAAATCTTGTTTAATTTTAATTTGTTTAAATAATCACGTGTGGCTCCTTTTTTGGACGGTGCAGATCTAGGCCATTGCTCTGTTGTACTCCATGGTTTACATTCTCCATGTTTTTACCTGTCCTTTTACCCTGGTGATGATACGCCAGGTTGCCTCCAACTCAGCCTTCAGAATAGTGATGCACCAGATACCCTATCTATGCTGATTTTAACTAAATATTGCCAAATAATTAGCTCTTGAGAATAGTTTCTCCAGTCGATACTCTTCTCCTTAGCAGTGAGCAAAGGTTCCTATATCTCCATTCTTTCCTGACCTTTATTCCATTTTTTGTCAATATTGCTATAAAGGATATCTTATTTTCATTTGCATTTCTCTGTGGCAATGCTTGTTAGCCTTTTGTATTTCTCTGGGTAGCAATAATTGTAAACTCTTTGGATTGCTTGTACATATCCTTGTCCATTTTATCTTTGAGAGTTGCTTTTTGTCTGTTTTCATGTTAATTTTCTCCTGAAAATTAATTCATTGTGTATTGTGTATTCATTGTATATTCTTGAAACTAGACCTTTGTCATTTTTAGCTACTACAGATATTTTCTCTTATTTTGTCATTTTCAACTTTATGTACCTTGGTTAAACAAACCAGATTTTACTACAAAGTAGTTAGTACTTTGGGGTTTTTGTTGAAGTCATACTCTACCCTTATTTCCCAAGGCTATCTTACTTTATCTTCTTTTAACTTTATCATTTTATCTTTTTTTTTAATTTTTTAAATTTTTTTATTTATTTATGATAGTCACAGAGAGAAAGAGAGAGAGATAGAGAGAGAGAGGCAGAGACATAGGCAGAGGGAGAAGCAGGCTCCATGCCCCGGGAGCCCAACGTGGGATTCGATCCCGGGTCTCCAGGATCGCGCCCTGGGCCAAAGGCAGGCGCCAAACCGCTGCGCCACCCAGGGATCCCAACTTTATCATTTTATCTGTCATGTTTAGGTCTTTAATCCATCTTCAGATGTGGTGCTCATAAAAGGCATGCCATTATATTTTTCTCTATAGTATTGTTGTAGGAACTAGTTAGGGGCACTTGGAACTAGACCAGGAAAGATAAGGGAAAGGTCCCAGGGTGGCTCCTACCCATCCCAAGAAAACAGATAAGACAGTAAAAACAGAAAAACCTGGCTCCCTAGTTCTAAAATGTTAGGGAGTATCCCCTTTAATGGCTACTAAGTAATCAGAGAAATCTCAGAGTAGATATGGAGGAAATACCAGAAAGAAGGGAACACCTTATTTGTACTCATATTTACCCCCCAAAAAAAATCTTGTTAGAAGTCCACCACACTTGTTCTAAATATAGATATATATTTACAAATCCACCCTGATATTGACAAGAAATTTACCAAGTTCCCTGGGCAGTGGCAACTGTGTAGACTCCTCTGCCTTTTGAGTGCTTTCTCTGTTATTTCTGCTTAATAAATTTCTTTGTCTTTGCTTCCTCTCTGTAGTCTGGAAATTCATTCTTCTACTCTGTGAGATAAGAACCAAGCTCTCCCGTTATCAGTATAGGCCAGTTTTCCTGTATGATTAATGCATTTTTTCAGTATATGCATTTTTTTCATTGACTTCGAGGACTATTGATGGTTGATTATGTCTCTCTTACAAATGCTGGTCTGTTTCAGTTCGATTTTATTTGCCTGTTCTTGGGTCAGTACCATACTGTATTTGTATCTGTGGCTTTGTAACTTACCTTAATATCTTTCGGAGATGAGATTTTCTTTTACTACTTATAATAATAAGTTCCTGGGGGCAGCCCGGGTGGCTCAGAGGTTTAGCGCCGCCTTCAGCCCAGGGTATGATCTTGGAGCCCCTGGATCAAGTCCCCAGGTTCCCTGCATGGAGCCTGCTCCTCCCTCTGCCTGTGTCTGTGCCTCTCTCTCTTGTGTGTCTCTCATGAATAAATAGATTTAATAAAATAAAATAAAAAAATAAGTTCCTGGAAGAACTAAGGGTTGTTTTCAGATTTTTTTTTTCTCATTGTACCCAGGAGATTTCAGAAGAATTCAGATAGGTTTGGGTGAGCTTTTCAGCATCTCTGGGAGGCAGCAAGTTATGTTCAGATAACTTATTGTCACTTACTGATTCTGAATCATTAAAGAAATTAGTTATGTTTTATTATTTTCCGTTTTCTGACCTCCTGGGCCTGGTGTAAGTACTAAAGTATACTTTAGTACATGTATACTCTGGCATATTATTCACATATATGCCAAAGACTAATGGCCCTCATTTAAGATTTTTATTTTATTTTTATTTTTTAAAGATTTTATTTATTTATTCGCGATAGAGAGAGATAGGCAGAGACACAGGCAGAGGGAGAAGCAGGCTCCATGCCGGGAGCCCGACGTGGGACTCGATCCCGGGACTGCAGGATCACATCACGCCTTGGGCCAAAGGCAGGCGCTAAACGTCTGAGCTACCCAGGGATCCCCTCATTTAAGATTTTTAAAAGCAGATGATCTTTCCTGCATGTAACTACATTTTCCAAAACAAAACTTTGTCTAGATTTTGATTTAGAAGTTTGCTGTCTAGGGATCCCTGGGTGGCGCAGCGGTTTGGCGCCTGCCTTTGGCCCAGGACACAATCCTGGAGACCTGGGATCGCGTCCCACATCGGGCTCCCGGTGCATGGAGCCTGCTTCTCCCTCTGCCTGTGTCTCTGCCTCTCTCTCTCTGTGACTATCATAAATAAATAAAAATTTAAAAAAAAATTTAGAAGTTTGCTGTCTAGATATATAGTAATAGTATCAGCTGAAGTATGACTTAAGTTATTTTACCCCATAATTGTAGGGCCAAGGTTTGAGTCCTGTTTTAGAAAAGGTCTAGAATAAATCTGAAATGATACATTGAATCATCCAACAATATTTATTGAGCATATATCAAGGTATTATATACAGTCACATGTAAACTTCTTATCCTTACATCCAACATTGAGATTCTTACACTTTATTTTTTTAAAAGATTTTTTATTTATTCATTTATGATAGAGAGAGAGAGGCAGAGGGAGAAGCAGGCTTCATGCCGGGAGCCCGACGTGGGACTCGATCCCGGGACTCCAGGATCGCGCCCTGGGCCAAAGGCAGGCACCAAACCGCTGAGCCATCCAAGGATCCCCTATTCTTACACTTTAGAGGGACTTTAATTATCGTCTAGATAACCAAAGGATAAGACAGTGGGCTAGAGTTTAGTCCAAAGTTCTTAACTCTTTTTATCCAAAGACCCAGAGAAAGAAATAGCATTCAGCTGCTAAGTCATTAATAAAGGGCTAGCTGATTCTTTTCCTTTCTCAGCTGAGCAAGTACATCAGAATATGAGTGAGGTTCACTAATATAACTTTGAATACATTCCTATTTTTCTTTTTAAAAATTATTAGTAAACATCAATATCTTATTAGGGGTTGTAATGAAAAAAAATTATTTTGGCCAGGTGTGGTTTTTTTGATCCTTGAAGACAATTTCTGATATATTCTTTAGATACCCTTTTATTTTACAGTAAGAAAACAGACTTGGGAAGTTAGATGACTTACACAGAAGTTATTTTAAACTAAGAAAATGTGACTAACATTTTGTGCCTGAGTAAAAGCATCTCCTAGTCTTTTTTCTCAAAAGTTATATTAGTAATTTACTGTTCAGTCTAGGACATGTAAAGGATTATTCAGATTACATTATTTTTATAACCTCGCAATATCAGGGCCATAGAGATAAATAGTTTTATTATTAAAATGTTCTTACATTTTAGGGAGTTGGCAAGAAGACTCAAGAGTATTTATTATTCAGTATTAGTTGAGTAGAATAAATTATTTCTTTTACATTTGTATCATCTCAACTAGTGAATCCAAAATTATGGCAGGTTAAATTGAACCATTTCTTTTGATTCTGCTCTACTAAGATGGAATCAGGGGGAAAAAAAGTACTTCTAGATGCCTAAAATGTGTCCAAATATACATTCCTGGCTTACCAAGCAGGAACCTGAGCAGCCAAGAAACTAGAATTTTGAATTTTAATGATGTGCTCCACTTATTTAAAAAATTAACTAAATTGAGTTATTTTCAGGCTCCTAGGTGGCTTAGTGGGTTAAACATCTGCCTTCTGCTCAGGTCATTATCCCAGGGTCCTGAGATCAAGCCCTGCATTGGGCTCCCTGCTCAGCAGGGAGCCTGCTTCTTCCTCCCTGCTTCTCCCTCTGCCATTCTCCCTCCTGGTGCTTTCTCTCTTTCTCAAGTAAATAAAATCAAACACTTTTTTAAAGTTAGTTATTTTCAGTAATAAATAATAACATCATAATTTGAGATAATATACCAAGTATATAACAGTTACTACAGTAGAAATTTAACATGTAATACATTTTTTTTTTGGTTGTGGTTTTTGTGGATGTATGTTACGTATTTGTTGTTTTGTTATTGTCAGCTTTGTGTTTTGGATTTGTTTCGTTTGTTTTTTTTTTTTTTAATTTTTCTATTTTTATTTTCCTTGGAAGAACCTTTACAATACTTTTGTTTCCATAATTCAGACGATATCCAACTGTTGAAAAACGAGCCAAAGTCTTCAATGGAGCAAGTTATGTGCCTATTCCTGAAGATGGTCCCTTTATGAAAGCACTACTCTTTGAACTTAGATTATTGGATGATGATAAGGACTTCATAGAAAGCCGTGATAGCTGTTCACACATCAATAAAACATCTGTCTATGGACTCCTCATAGGAGGTGGAGAACTCTGGCCAGTTGTTGCGTTTCTGAAGAATACCATGATATATGCTTGTGTTCCACTAGTTGAACAAACTTTATCCCCTCACCCACCATTAATTAGCATTAGTGGAATTTCACAAGGCTTTGAACTTCTTTTTGGGATACAGGATTTTCTTTACTTGGGTCAAAAAAATGACACTGAAATAAATACAAAATTGAACCAACTGCCTGATTTGCTTCTACAAGCTTGTCCATTTGGAACTTTGTTAGATGCCAACTTACAGAATTCATTGGATAGTATTAATTTTGCTTCTGTGACACATCCACAAAAACAGCCAGCCTGGAAAGTTGGAACATACAAAGGAAAACCACAAGTTTCTATTTCTATCACTGAAAAGGTAAAATCCATGCAGTATGATAAACAGGATATAGCAGATACATGGCAGGTCGTTGGAGCTGTCACTTGCAAGGTGAGATTTTCTCTGGTACTTGTTTTATCATACCATTTAACACCTTGGAGAAAAGTAGAATTTTCTAACTTTATTTTACATTGTTATATGACGTTCTTGGTTCTTATCATAAACAGCAGTCATTAAACATTAGATTCATATGAAATTTTGTAACATTACCGTTTTGCATTCCTTATGACTTGTATTAGTTGTATAAAGCTGCATAATGAATTGTTACACTATCCCCAAAGTAAACATTTATTATCCTTACAGTATTCTGTGGGTTAAGAATTCAAGAGCAGTTTAACTGGGAACTTCTAGTATAGAGTCTATCATGAGATCACAGTCAAGATTACAGTTAGAGTTCTAGTCACCTGAAGGTTTTATTGGGGCTGGAAAATCTACTGGCAAGGTGGCTCACTCACATGGATAGCAAGTTGGTGCTGGTTGTTGGTGGGAGGGCTCAGTTCCTTTCCATGTGGGCTTCTCAGTAGGCTTTTCAAGAATATCCTCACGACTTGATGACTAGCTTCTAGATCAAATGTTGAGAGAGAAAGAGAAGGTATAGGTAGAAGCTATTATTCTTTTTATTACTTTGGCTGAGATCAGATGGCATCACTTTCACCACTTTTTGTTCATTAGAAACAGGTCACTAAGTTCAGTCCACATTCAAGGGGACTAGAATTAGGCTTCACCTTATGAAAAGAGTAATGTCAAGAATTCGTGAAAATATTTTAAAACCGTCATACCTTTTCCATTTTCTCTAACGGTGAAATTGACAAATCTTGGACTTAATTATCTAAAACTATTTTGAAGGGCTCTTACATTATTTAAACAAGTTGGTAGGTCAATATAGGCTTCTCTGGTTTAAGGTTAGAAAATAGGAACTGACAATAGGAGTAACTATAATTAGAAGTGATAAGTGCCATTTTGAATAATAGTCAAAAAAGCCCTGTGTAATTTCTACAAGTTTATATCAGTAATCTTAGATGTCTTTATTTTTCTGATATCCTTTTTTCTCTACACTTGTGAATATAAAATTCTTAAACGTAGTGTTGAGTGGCTGTGTGCAAATGCTATAGATAAAAGTAGATTTTAAGAACAGAAAATTAGAACAGTCCTGGCAGACAAATTGGGTCTTTCTTTCCCCCTTTAACTTTAAAGTAACTTATGAGTTTATGTGTCTGTTTTAAACTAACTTCTATCATGATCAAAAATACATTCCAGTTACTAACTTATTAAAAATAACTATTGTAAATGATGGGGTGACTGGGTGACTCCATCAGTTAAACGTCTGACTCTTGATTTTGGCTTAGGTCACCATCTAAGGTTTGTAAGATTGAAGCCCATGTCAGGCTCCACACTGGGCATGGAGCCTGCTTAAGATTCTCTCGCTCCCTCCTCTGCCTCTCTGTAATTAAAAAAAAAAAAAAAAAGGACTATTATAAATGGCTCTAAAATCCATCATAAACGTGGATTATGTCATTTATAAATCTTAAAGTAGGAGAATCCTTTCCCATAATTCTGTAAAATAAAAGGAAAATTCACCATTTTTGTTTTCTTATTCTGTGGCAATATATAGGGAATATGTTATATATAATTTGCTAGTAATTAATATGGTATTTAAATATCTCAGCTCATTGATAGGCTGACCCTAGTTTATTACTTATGGAAATTTTGGATTGGTTTCTATACAAATTATCATGATGGAGAATCTTCTTTAAAAAACTTCTAAAAATAAAAAGGGGGAGTATGCCTTAATCCATGCACTAAATTTTTTTTTTAAGATTTTATTTATTTTTGAGAGAGCATAAGTGGGGTGGGGCAAGAGGGAGAGGAAGAAACAGACTCCTCACTGAGCAGGGAGCTCAAAGTGGGGCTCAATTCCAGGATCCTGGGATCATGACCTGAACTGAAGGTAGATGCTTAACCAACTGAGCCACCCAGGTTCCCCTAAATGTTTCTTTAAACTTGCATGTAAATAGTACATCTTTTAGCCAAACCTAGTACATCTTTTAGCCAAACATTTTTTTTAAAAGTTCTTCAGGGGGCTCATTGGTTGTCTGCCTTTGGCTCAGGTTGTGATCCCAGTGTCAGGATCGAGTCCTGCTGCCTATGTCTCTGCCCCTCTCTCTGTGCCTCTCATGAATAAATATATAAAATCTTTAAAAAAATTTATTCAGGGGCTTATTATTTAAAGTTTTATTATAAAGCCTATTATAAATGGAAATAATTATTTTCATTTAATGTTCCTAGTAGAAAACCTAGTGAACCAAAATTCAGTGGACTGAAGTTCTAATCCTTACTCTACCGCTAATTCTTTGTCTTTGGAAAAGTCAAAATTTTTAGTCTTTTTCATTTTTAAAATCAGGAAAGTTCCTAGGTCCTTTCTGTTTTTATAATTTCTAGTTAAAAGTCCAGATTTACATATGTCAGATTGCCTTAAAGGGTAGTACCCAGGTCTCATCTAGAAAGAAAGTCTGCATTCTATAGTAAATGACGGATGATCTGCTATTTTAAATGATTAGGTAGCAGATAATTCATTGGTGGTTTCCTTACTGGTTGCAATTTTCCAATCCCTCTAAGAATATTAGGCTAATTTAATAAATATAAACTGAATATATAAGCATTGTAATAGTATTTTCTAATAAGATTTGCTCATTTTATTATTTCCCTAAAATATCAAGAAACAAAATGTTTCTTTGTTCTTGCTAGTTCACATATAGAGAGTGATGGTTTAAAACTCAAAACACTAAGCTGTTTTTAAGTTTTGAGGTAAGGTAATAGGACATTTATATTTTCAAATGTGATAGTATTGTAACTGTTACCCAAAAATCTTTATGAAGTATTAAAACCAGGTATTGTTCATAGTGCCTGCCTTTTCTCTAAGTGCTTACGTTGTATAACGTATATTCTTGAATTCACGCATATGTCAAGTAGTAAATAAAACATAAGAAAGTAAAACGTCACATTAGAATGGAAAACAAAGGTAGAATCCACAATTAGAAGAAGAAGATACCCATTCAGTAAACATTTCTTTGAATGTCTCTTGTGCATAGCAATGTGCCAGGTACTAGAAATAATAAGAAAAATGTAACAATTCTTGCTTTCAAAGAACTTAAAGCTTCAAGAGAGAAACAAACAGGGCACAAACACCTATAGAGGAGGTAAGCAGTTATTACGTGATGCATGCCATGTACATGGTAGTGGAAATAGCTGCTTGCATCTGGAGCCAATCCTACCTGCTGAGTTTCTATTAACTCTTAAAATATTTGTTCAAGTGTACAAAACAAAACATGTCAATAAGCCTTATATGGCCCAATTGGCTAGTTTTAATTGGGTGCTTTAATAGAGGTAAAGGTCAAGTTAGAGTTGAGGTAGAAAGGAAGAACCTGATTACCATGAACAGACAAGTGTCAATTTGTCAAACAAATTTTGTCAAACAAAATATGTCAATAAGCCTTATATGGCCCAATGGGCTAGTTTTAATTGGGTGCTTTAATAGAGGTAAATGTCAGGTTAGAGCTGAGGTTGAAAGGAAGAACCTGATTACCATGAACAGACAAGTGTCAATTTGTTGGGTCAGGAAAAGCCATTTGGGTCAGAAAAAGCCATTACAGGGTTTAAGAGAGTAAAGATATTTAATATAGGACTTAGGGCTTACCAGAAACAACAGTTAATTTAAAACTTCATGAAGATGTGAAAAATAATTTTGAATTCTGAGAAGCTCATACCAACTGTAAAAGGAGTTAAGAGAACAAAGTTTCTGATCTAAGCTGCCACCTTCCAGAGACAGTCACTAATGCTTTTAGTCTGGAGAAGCCAGAATTCACAGATAAGTATGAGATATCACCATATCTATCTGTTACAACCTCAAAGCAGAAATCCATGGAAATTTCTGAAAAGTGCTGCATCTAAGATCTTGGTAATATCTGTTTCTGTTTCTATTGCAGTGTGATTTAGAAGGAATTATGCCAAATGTTACCATCAGCTTGAGTCTCCCTACCAATGGGTCTCCACTTCAGGATATTCTAGTTCATCCTTGTGTGACTTCTCTTGATTCTGCCATTTTGACTTCTAGTAGCATTGATGCAATGGATGATTCTGCATTTAGCGGACCTTACAAATTTCCATTCACTCCTCCTTTAGAGTCATTCAACTTATGCTACTACACCTCTCAGGTAAACAACCTTGGAAAAGTTGAGACTTTGTGAATCTTCATGCTTATGAATTCTATTGTAAGTAAATCATTCACACTTTTAGCCCACATGAGAACTTTTCATTATTTACCAGATAATAATTAATGAATGAAGATGAAGATTTAGGTCTTAAAAAGGATACCTCTTCTCTCTGGTGTTAGTAACAGCATTGAATGGTTTTCAAAGTTATGGGATTTTTTAATGTTGCCTAATAAGGACTCCATGGTCACAGGATAGATCTTGGTATAATTTAGTCAGGTTTGGATTATGAACATAGATACCCGTAATCCCAGGCAACTGTGGTTACGACTATATAATATTATTAATAGGTATTGTTTGTTGAATAAGTGCTGTGTCAGACATTCCTCCCAACCTAGAGGAGGGGAACCTGAATGAGCAAATGAGGGTAAATGTCAGGTATCTTTCTGATCTCTGGAAACAGGAGGAAAAATCCTTGCCTTTAGAATGATAATGGCTCCCTCATCTTTTATCGAAAGAGTGTGGAGTAATCTGTACACAATGACTACAGTACTGCAGGGCCTTTTTCTCAAGCATTATTGGTATTTTGCACCCAATCACCTGAGAATTGTACAAAAATTTGTTTATGTTTGTTTCCAGGTCCCAGTCCCACCAATTTTGGGTTTTTATCAAATGAAAGAGGAAGAAATAAAAGTAAAAATAACAGTTAACTTAAAACTTCATGAAAGTGTGAAAAATAATTTTGAATTCTGTGAAGCTCATATACCTTTCTATAATAGGTAGGAATAAAATAATGTGGTGCCATGATTTCTCCCTTTCTTAGTACATTCCCACCTCCCTACAGTAAATTATTTGTTTTTTTACTTTATTTTTAAGATCTAAAAATTTTGTTTTATTCAAATGAATGCTGATTCTGAACCAAAAATCAGCCATAAAAATGCTCTCTTTACCTTTTCTAGTTAAACTTATTAGTAAATATAAACCTAAGTCAATGTAGCTTCTTTGAGGGATTATTTCATTGTTTGCTTTATTTCTAGCAGTTTCTCTGTGCTCTACATACAAGTCAAACTCAACTATCAGCTACCTGGTGAATTAAGCCAATGATACCATAAGATTACTTCCTTATCAGTTGTGCTTTTAAATTTGTTCTGCAGCATAGTTCTTTCCATAGGATGCTTAAAGATAGAGTAAAATCATAATTTTAATGTGTCAATCCATATAACTGAATTAATATGTTCTATATGATTTTATAATTGTCTTTAAAGTTAATGAAATGTATAATATCACCAAAAATATGTGTGTTTCTGGTGTTTTTAGAGATATAATATTCGTTATTTGCTCTGCTTTAGTCTGCAAACTTGAATTCGGATTTGCTTTTATGCTGTCCTATTAAATAACACTAGCTAGATTTAACTTAGGTCTCTTAAAAACTCCTCTATGATCACTTTTTCTCTCCGTTGTATCCTTTTCTTTTTTAAAGAGGTCCCATCACACATGTGGAATCCAAAGTTAGTTTTGGCCAGCTTGAAGTATTTCGAGAGAAAAGTTTATTGATCTGGATTATTGGTGAGCTTTTATTTATTGACTTTTTTTCTCATTCATCTGTTGTAAAATCTACTTACTTTAAAATAGTTACCTGGTACCTTTGTGTTTTTAGGACAAAAGTTCCCCAAATCCATGGAAATTAGTCTTTCTGGAACCGTAACTTTTGGAGCTAAGAGTCATGAGAAGCAGCCATTTGATGAGATTTGCATTGGAGGTACAGCATATTTAAAGGTAAATACATTTATGTGGCTCACTACATTAGAAATCTTTTGTTTTTAAGTGGCCTATATCTAATTGATTTTTGATGTTTTCTAGCTGTTTTTTTGTGGGGGGACTTTTTGTCTGTGCTCTTTTTTTTAGATTTTTGTGAGATTTCTTTTTGTTTAGTATTAGTCACTTTCTATTTCACTTAATACTTTAACAATTTTAAAATAAAACAGTTATAACCTTAGCACATCAAATTAACCAAGTTCTACCTACCCAGCTCTTAGTTATTACATTCAAGATTTGTATACAGAAAATATAAGATTAGCCCTTGCCCTCTAGAGATTTTCCACTGATGAGTGTTAGTAATTGATCAGTGTTGCTTTTGGTATTTGAAGGAAATAGTGAGTACTTCTGATCAATGTGGTCCAGGAAACCTTTGCAGTAAGAGGTAGGAGTTTAAGCAAAACTCTGAGACCAGATAAGCATGAAAATGAAACTTTGAAGATTGACCAACATTTATATAGGTAAATAAATGACTTAAAAGAATGAAGGATAACAGGCACACTTAGGAACCAGTGCTAGAAATAGTAGTAATACATCAGACTGGATAAGTGATTTAGATCTAGATTGTAGCTTTGGAGGGTTTGCATTCTGACTTATATTCCTTTGTTAGAAAATGTTATAGTTTTTTTTAGTATGGAAGTGGTCTTTCAGAAAATAGTACTTTATGAAGATCAATTTGGAATGAATGTGAGAAAGTGAGTAGAAAAAAAACCAAAAACCTTGATTCCTAATGAAAGGTAGTAAGTTAATGATGCTTAGGATGAAGAAAGAAAGAAAGAAAGAAAGAAAGAAAGAAAGAAAGAAAGAAAGAAAGAGAAAAGAAAGACTGTTGGAGAAGTTGTGATAAAAGTAAAGCATTGGTCACTAATTAAATATAGAAATAAAAAATGGTTTTAAGTCCAAGATTTAAGGGAAAAAAAGTAGCTTAAATCAGACTTGAAGTTTCAAGAGGGCAGAGACCATATGAGTGTCATTCATTCATTATTTTTATCATCAACACCTAGTTGATTACCTACCACATAAATATTTGCTGATGGATGAATATACTTAGGGAAAGTACTAATATGGAGAAAGTTAGGAGGAAGTGGGCTCCATATCATAGATGTTGCTGGTGATAGCAACATATCCTAATGTAAGTGTCTAGTAGGTAGCTAAAAACCTAGAGCATGATTCTCAAGAGAAAATTCAACAGTTTATAAGAATTTAGAAGTTACCTGTGGAGAAAAAATAGTAGAGGTAGTAGAAATGAATAACATCAGAAAAAGTGAAAATAAGCGGATAATTTTGAAGACCCAATGAGAGGAATTGAAGGAGTGATCAGAAAAGGAGGAGGAAAACTTAGGTAGAATGGTAGAGAAATCAGAGACATTGAAATCTATATATAAAAACAATTAGAGGAAATAGTAGTGAAGTCAGAAGTAGATTAGTGATATTCATTTCTTCTATCTTGGCTTTAGCTATATCCACAAACTTTTTTTCAAGGATTATTATAAAGATTCCTACTTCCAGATATTTTTTCAGAAAAAATGTGAAATGTTACTACACCATAGGTCTTACAAAGACAGGGATTATAACTTTTTTTATAATATCTAGTTTTGTGGAAATCCATCTTGGTATAACTTCCAGAATCCAGAATTCTACTAAACAAGCAAGCAAAAGCCCTTTTCTATTAGAGATAAAATGAGTTGCAATAGGAAAAAAATTGCTTAGAAGATTGGAAAATTTACATCCTATGTATGTAGATCAGTTAGTTTGGCAATGAAAAGGAGAAAGTTAGGAAATGGGAGAAATTTGAAGGGATGAGAAGTGGAAGAAGTATAGAAAAGATAGCAGGATATTGCAAAATCAGGAGCTTTTCGCAGTAAAAATGAGAACCACAGCAAAAGGAGACTTGAGCTCACTCGATAAGACACAGACCTTTGATTGTTCATGTGAATTTCATTGTGACTCAGGCACCCCACTACTCTGCCTTCAGAGAAGGTACTAATGGCCCTTTCTACAATAGCACAATATAATAATCGGCATTTATACTGATGATGCCACATTATCAGTTAAATCCCAAATATGAATAACATTTTAGAAAGGTTTTACAGGTGAGACAAAGGATGATTTCTAAGCTTAGTTCTATAAAAATTGAATTTCAGTTTTTGGAAGATTAAGCAGAACATCTCATTCCTCCCAAACATGAAACAAACTGTTTCAATTTTAATAATTGCATTCTTGTGTTTTGCTAGGAAGTATCTACATTTCTGACTGTAAAAGAATTATGATCTGAGATAGATCACAATCATATAGCCTTAGAGATAGACGAGAATATACAGAATACCAGACACCCTAGAGGAAGAGGCACCAGCTTTTCTTGTCAGTTGAGTTTGAGTTCATATGCCAGCTCTGCTACTTACATTCAGGATGCTAATTGTTCCATCTCTGAACCTCAGTGCCCTTTGTAAATAAGGGATGCTTTGCAATATACATTAGAGTCCATATTAGTGAAGTATCTGGTGGATGTTAAGCATTTCATAATGACAACCCTACAAAGAAATAGTCCTAATGCAAAGGGGAAAAGGTGTTATGTATGTATGTATGTATGTATGTATGTATACATAGAGACATTTTTATTTTGTGAACTATGTGAAATAAATTCCTAAAGTGTCAAAGGAAAAAATGTGGCCATCACTTATCAAATAATCGCCTCAATTTGGTATGTTTCTCTTCTTTTTTCTAGCTTCATTTTAAGATCTTAGATTTTACACTCACTGGTTGTTAGGCCATCACTTTTATCAAATAATCACCTTAATTTGGTATGTTTCTCTTCTTTTTTCTAGCTTCATTTTAAGATCTTAGATTATACACTCACTGGTTGTTATGCGGATCAGCATTCAGTTCAAGTTTTTGCATCAGGAAAACCAAAAATAAGTACATGTAAGTTGTATAGATTCAAACTAACTTGAGGTAGTTAAAATGGTGCTCTGCAGTTATTACCTAAGATAAAATTAAAATGTAACAGAAAGAAATCAGAGAATAATTCCAGTTTATAAAAATTCTGACCTGATCATAATATTATTATTTAAAATTTTGAATATTTTTAGCAAATGCTGCAGTAAATGAGCATTATTTAGCACTCTCTCCATTTTATAAATAGGGCAATAGAAAGAAGGTTTTTAGCCTTCAGTGAGTTTGTTGGTTATAAGTAAACATATATATACTGTATATGAAAACACAGGGATACAAAGCAATTTATAAATGAATTCAGAATTATTTAATTCACATCAAATATTTATGGAAGCATAAAACAGAAAAGTAGCTAAAATGAGGTTAAGTTAGTTAAACATAAGCAGAACTCTTAAGATTTAAGTAATCCCTACACCTAACATGGGGCTCAAACCCATGACCCCAAGGTCAAGAGTCACATGTTCTTCTGACTGGGGCCCAGGCGCCCCTAGATAAATGTTTCTTTAAGGATTAGAGTCCCAGGGGGATCTCTGGGTGGCTCAGTGGTTTAGCGCCTGCCTTAGGCCCACGGTGTGATCCTGCAGTCCTGGGATCAAGCCCCACATCAGGCTCCCTGCATGGAGCCTGCTTCTCCCTCTGCCTGTGTCTCTGCCTCTCTCTCTGTGTGTCTCTCATGAATAAATAAACAAAATCTTTAAAAAAAAACTAAAAAAATAAAAAAAAAAAGGATTAGAGTCCCAGAATAGGTAGAATAAGATAAGACTTTGTACTTGAAAGTTTAGAAGAATTACAGAACTCGGAACTATAGAATTCTAAGTAATTACTTGTGAAGGGCAAAAGTAATTTCTATGTAATATAATCAGAATAAGTCATATTCTTCCTTAGGATTTCTTTTTTTCATCATTTTTTGTGTCATATTTTAAAGAAATGCATATACATAGAAGAGTCTTCATAATGCATTTTTTTTAATGAAGGCATGATATAGTTATATCAATTTAGACAAACCAGTGGTTTTGTCTAAATGCAAAAATTTTGGATTCTATCAATGGGATACTGAATGCAAACAGACCAATATTTTAGATTGTCTATGGGAGATCTATTGTCTCTTTAGATATGTCTAAAATATTTTGAGTATCTTATTAACTGAACAAATTGTAGCAGTTCTCAGCATAATACAGAATGGGATGTTTCAGTAATCTACCTCTTAAATATAAAATGTTTATATTTTAATGTAAATTAATATAAAATATTAATATATTGAATAAAAGAGGTCATTTTAAATGCATAATTATGGCCAGTCTTTTATTTCCTTCCTCCGTTAGTTTCAGAACGTGACTGCCACTTTGTGCAACTATTTAAGATCTTTATTTTACCATCATCTTGACAATACAATCTATTTTCATAATATACAATTTAATTCTGAAAATATTAATGCCAATATTGATGTTAATTTAAATAATAAGTAACATTTATTGTTTACCTTGTGCCAGGCACAATTCTAAATATTTTATGTGTATTAACTTATTAATCCTCGCAGCACCGTGTGTGAGAATTGTTATCTCCATTTTACAGATGAGGATGCTGATGGAATAGAGGGATTAGGGTCACATAGCTAGTAAATGGCAAGACTGGGAATCAAACCAAGCAGTCTGGCTCTGGAGTGTGCCCACTTAACCAGTATGCTGTATTGCTTTTCAATGTTACTAGGTTCTTAGACTGAATAAATAAATAACAAGGTAATACATCCTACCTCTTTTTCATTATGAAGAAAAGCATGAAGAAGAAAGATAGAAAAGGCAGAATTAGATATTTACAGGTATTTACAGATGTGTGTAATAATCAGAATTTACATGGGTCTAGCTCCAAATGAGCATTATTAGCTCAAATTTACATATCAGAAAACTTTAGTTCAAAGAAGTTGTCATTTGTCCAAAGCTACAAAGCTGTTAAAACAAAAGGCTTAACTTTGATCAGAACTTTAAGAAACCATTGAAGCAACTTTTAAAAAATATTACCAGAAAGTGGGATGTTTATTTCTATCTCTAAAACTTTGAATAGATAAAGAACAGCAAGATCAGAATGAGGACCATGGTGAAGAGAAGTCACAGAATTGGAAACCAATGAAAAATTTTTTAAGTTTTTTTAGTTGATGTAATGGTCCATATGAAACAATTTAAAGGAAACCATGAGAAAATTTGATAGAAGTGGAATAAATGAGGGATATTTGCATAAGTTTGGCATAAATAAGCTCAAGGATAGATTTAAATATTTAATAAACCCATATTTTTAAAGTTGTAAAAAGTATAATGCCTTGATGACGTGAAATTAAAATGAATATTTCAAAGTATTGCCTTTCTTGAAATAATTGTGTTCCGCATTTTAAAATATGACTCTGCTCACTCATTGAATTTTTATTAAGCTAATACAGTCTTACCATTTATTTCCTTTTTTTTATAGACCGGAAACTAATTTCTTCTGACTATTACATCTGGAATTCTAAAGCTCCTGCACCAGTAGTAACATATGGGTCATTATTACTGTAATTAATTCATATTTAAATAGAATTTATATAATAGTGCTTAAATCATTCGTCTTTTATTTTTAATGTATATGCATATAACCTATGAATGAAAAAAGTCTTTGATTTAATTATAAAAATACTCTTGCTTAATGTTTTTAGCCTGACATAGTTTGAAGGAACATTTTAAAGACTATGTTTCCTATTTTGTTACCCTTTGATTTTACTCAAATGTGATTCAGAGCATAAAACAGTAGTGATTCACTTTAAGCTTATTTTAAACTAGTCCTGGGTCACCCTACCATACAAACTTTCCTGCTCCTGCGGCAGACATAGCTAATCAGTTGTAACATTCTTTCTCCACTGAGCCTTCCTGGATATGGGCTCAGGCTCTTTTCTCAATGTGGAGCTGCAAACAGCCACTTCTGATAGATTGTAGATAGAAAGATAGATGTGCAAGATAAAAACTCTTTGCTCTTTCAAACCTGAGTAGTTAAGTTCCTAGTACAATGGATTATTGTGGAATACCAGAAACCACTGTAAATCTCTTGGAGGAAAAAAAACAGTCAATGAAAACAAAAGAATATTGTTTAAATAGTAACCTGTTCTTAATCAGAACTATCTTATTGACTAATAAAGAATCTGCATAATTCTATTCAAGGTGTTTATCTCTGTTCTAGAGTTATTTTTCAGGTAAGCTTATTAATCTGCCACAGTGACATTTTGCTCAGGATGTCAGCATACTAAGAAGGATGGGATACTTTCAGAAAATGAGCATAGTTTTTTTTGATCACTTAATGCCTGCAGCGCAAATTTTTAAAGATAAATTTAGGTATAATACTGATTTTCATGTTTGTCATATGAAAATTCTTAATGAATTCAGGTAAAAATATCAAAGCTGTTCTCTGGGTAGAGAGTATTGCTTAATCTTCTTTCAGTTTTGTATAGCCTATTTCCTTTAAATTTGTCACCCCTACTTTCTTATTAGCATTCTCTTGATTTCTTTAGGAACCACCCAATCATATTTTTTATTCTGTCTTTACAAATTATATGTGTCATTCTGTTTGAAAGCAGTTCCTTGTCCAGTTGGACTTTAAGTGACCATTCAAGAAAAGATGAAATCTTGAGATCCTCCAGACTTCATCCATGTCAGGTTCCTTTTTACAGAACAGAATTAAAAGCGTTATAAAAAATATGCATTGCAGATTAATATTCAATTAAATTATCTCTTGGTTTCTATTTTTTAATGAGTCTCCTAAGCAAAAGCTTAGAAAAAGCTTCTAACTCCTTGAAAGAGAGCTATGCTAGTTTGAAGGGATATTGCATATGAGTTTAGGATTTGAAATATGATTTTTTAATTAAGGTCAGTCTCATTATAAATTCTCATTTTCTGCAAGGCATTATCATGGCAGAATGCTCTATGTTCAAAATTATCCCAAGTAACAAAGAAAGTAGAATAACTGCCTGACCAGGACTTTAACTTATTATTCTGGCTTAATCATAGATAATCAGTAGTAAAGGCTTTCCTTTTGAAAGAAGAAAAAAACCATTTTGCTTAAGTTATTTGATCTCTCTTAAATTCAAGGGAAGCTTAACGTTTAACTTATGTTAATATTAATGGAGCCATTTGGACATCTTGATCATATAAATGTTGAGTAAAGTACACGAAGGCAGGCAAGAGGCATTTATCTAATAAGTACACAGATACTCAGTATAATAATCCCCTAGGGAAAACTTTTTTTTTTTATAAGCAATCAGAAAAACCAGTGAATCTTTGATTTGACATTTCTAGAAGCCTGAGGAAAATCTAGGGAGTACTGGAAAAGTGTACGGTGGAGGAGAACCTGATGCCATCTGTTGCCATTCCATTCTAACATAACGCTACAGAACTAAAACCAACTCATGTTTTCATCCTGTTGAGATCAGCTGGTCACACTGTGATGCTTTTGATTTTGTCTAGAAACCTGTCACTTCAGGATAATTTCTGAAGACAAAGTCTGTTTCCCGTTTGGTAGGTGACCTGTTTAATGTTTTCCCTGTGTCTGGGAACTCCTTAGTGTAATTAGCGACCTTTGAACTCCACAACTAATCCTGAGCTATTTTGTATTCCTTACTCATCTTTAAGGCTGGACCTTTCTTTTCTTCAGAGTCCGCTGCCACAATTAAAGAAGAAACAGCTGCATTTCAAAGGGATTCCGATTCCAGAAGCTTAATCGTGATTGACATGTTCTTATTCTAAGCTATAAGACACTCTAAGAGTCCTTTCTTGGGTTAAAACTTCAATCATTTTCTAAAAAATTATCTCACTATGGATTTTATTCATTTTCTTTGATAACTATTCTTTGCATTTTTTAACTTGAAAGATGCTTTGCATTTGTGGTGAATATGAGCATCTACTTCCAGTTAAAGATTTGGATGGTGTCAGACATACTCTAGATGCAAAATTGCTAAATTCCCTTTTAGTGCCAAAATATGATTATGAAATCTGATGTCGATCATAGAGGGTAATTATTCTCCAGTAAACCGAAAAGGTACAAAAAGTGTTAAATTTCTGAGAATGTACTCTATAAAAAAAGTGGTTCATGATTTTCATAAAATCCTTCATTTTTTTACTAAACAATATTTTTAAAACTTTTTAAAGCTAACAATACTCTTATAGCATAATGTAATATACCCTTACAGTGGTGGGCACTTTTTATTTTTCCTTTTTGAATAATTGATTCGAATGTCAGGTTTGAAGTAAATAGCCTTGTCAGGAATTCTCAAGAAAATTACTTGTGTAAAAAGTTTCTTTCATTAAACAATAGTCTATCTCATAAACTTCAATTTTTTCACATGAACTCAGTATTTCTGAGTTAAAATTATGGTTTTTATACATTGTGTGATTTTCAAGGTCTTTCAAAGCACAATTTTATACGCAGTAACAACTAATATTTTTCTTTTATTTTTTTATTATAGTATGTCATACTGCTTTATAGACATTCATAGACTCCTGTACCACCCGTGAGAGGTAGGTAGGCCGAGTTATCATCCAGAGCCTCTGCAGGGACTGCTGCCATAGCAGAATGGTTGTTTCTAAGACAAAGGTCAGAAAAGGGATGTTAATAAACAGTCCTCAGGTTTAAGGGACTTTTTTAGGATTACATCTTAAATTCCAGCAAATCAGATTTAGGAGTTACTGAAAGTGAAATTGATCCATCCCTCATCCAAACTTTGCAATACTTTCCTGTTCTGACATCATTTAGATAGTTAGCTGTATTATCAGATTAGAAACCATTGTACCCGGCTGCTGAAAGGAAAAGGAGGCAAAAAGCTAAACATGGGATGAATTCTGAACCTTTTAACCTGGCTGAAGTACGTTGGTCCCTGTTATGCAAATACCTTCAATCCTCTGCTAAGTTCAGTGGAAATAATTTTCTTGAATGACAGGTTTATTCAGCAAGGATTCAGTTGGTGATTAATCCCCCTTTGATCTAGGGTATTTCACTTAACTACCAGTTACCTCGTTCTGACAAAGTGCAACTGAGATTAGGGAGATCACTAGAACACTACCAGGGTGTGCGTTTATTCTCTCTAACCTTTTAAAGCAAGGGCCAAGAATGCAATTTATTTTCAGTATTTGAAGATGTAAAGTCCTGTCTGCTAAGTTAGAAAGTCAATTGAATACCAAATGAAGTTTATTTCTTACGTAATAGAACAAACATTTCTTTTTGCTTTGACGAACAATGATTTTAGGAAACATAGGCTTTGAAGAAAGAAGAAACAAAGACTACATTCTAAGTTTATCTTCTCGTTTTGTTTCATGTACTGGAGTGTGTACTTACTGGCCCTGAGATAAACTAAAAAATCAAAGCAGTGGCTACAACTTAGGTTGAGAAAATGCTTCTATTTTATTAAACTGCATGGTTTCTCCCCGCCCTCCCCCCATTAAAAAATGTCATGCTATGTGGTAAAGAATTCCAACGGGGAACACATATTGTAATACATAATTATTCATCTTAAGATTTGTGGTTTCAAAGCTTTATTTGTTAACTTTGTTCTTCCTTGAGGAAAAAGGGATTGTTATATCGCCATCATAAGAATACTCACATTCTTTTTCAGGATAATGGCATTTATTTCCGTAAAGAAAGATAAATGATGTCATTACAAAAATAATACAATTTAAATTATCAAAATAATGACTTCCCACTGTACTGATTACTATCTTTTCTGCCTTTTTCTTGAGTACCTCTTCTCCATAACTTTAAACTTCAAAATATTTTACAGAATTTGGCACAATATTTTAAGGAAAAAATTTTAAGATTTGTGTTATGCTAGGCTTCTCAAATAATTTACTTTTTAAAACTACTATCAACATCAGCATCAGTATTCACTTCCAAGATAGCAGATTTGGAGATTTATTTCTCAAATATATTTCAAGACTGACTCTTAAAAAAAGAAACAATGATTTTTTAACAAAAAAAGATTTAAAATATTAAATTATTATTAATTTTATTATTACTGATGGTGTTTTTTTAACTGCTTTATAATTCATTCTTCTAGTAGCAGTTTGGAATGCAAGTTCATATTTGGATGATTTACACACTTTTTTTGGGTCTCAAACATTCTGTGATCCAATTTCTAAATTGAAACAATGACTTGTACACATCTAATTCATGTTGGTGCCAAACCAGTCTAGTTTCAATTTAGTAACCAATCTGTCAATATCTTCTGATAGCAAGTTACTTAAACAAAGCAAAATTGATGTGCTGAGCTCCCTTGGGTAGCACATATACCAAAGCAAAACTGAGAAGCAGAAAAAGATTTAGGATAAAAGGGCAGGATTCCCTTGGTAATGTTGGTAAGAAACTAGTATTTTTAATAATTACTCTGTGGAGTCCATATTTAGTTAATAACTGTTGCAATATATCTTGAAATACGCTATCAGAGAATCTACGTAAAATGTATGTATACATATATGCGCATGTATTTGTGTAATGTATATGTTTATCTCTGGGTTTCCCTATGAAATGTTTGTATATCATGTCAAAGGAAGAATATTTAAAGTCCAATATCTTCTCTTCAAACATGTTTATTAATAGCAGTAGAGAGGTTCATTAAAATGAAAATTAACAACTCAAAGTGGAGTTGATAGTATTATTGTCTATATATAGCTTGGAGCAGACAATACCTTATATTACTAGTTTACTCTGAAGTCCAGATTGATTTCTCTAGACCCTGACTAATCTGAGTAATTGTTTACAGTGTGGTGCTAATGTATGATGCACAGCATTTACAGATTAACAAGTACCCTGGGTTGAAAACCACCTGCTGAATTGTTTTTTCTAGCAAGATGTGGAAATTTGTACATCTTAATAATCCATTAAACATTAAATCCATGTCTTCTTTTTAAATGATAGTATCTATAAAAACAATACTGCTTAGTTAACATACTACTAATAATAAAAATGAAAAATAAATTATTATCCCTCTCACAATTTTTACTTTTTCTTTCAAAGGACTTGAGTGCCCTCTACAGGCTATGAAGAGATAATTAATGACTATATTTAAACCCTGTGGTTGTTTTTCCCTTTTAGAAGCATAGTCTGCATTAAGTGTAATCTATTTTACTTATATTGTTAGCTTTGTTAATTTGTCAGTGATTGAAGCAAGAGTTCCTTTTGTCAGTTTTTTATAGTTGTGTTTAGTATGAAGAATATTACCATTGAAATTTCCAAATCACTTATTAGTTCAGGCTCTTTAAATGTTGGAACTATACACATTGAAACTAATAATTCATATTCTCTCACAGAAAGGAAATCAGGAAAACATTTAGCTATTTTGAAATATATTGGAGATATAGAAGATAACTTGATTATTTCAAGTTACATTACATTCTTAGGATATTATACATTTGATATAAAGCCTTTTTCAGTATGCATCATGTAAAATTTTAAATTTATATACAAGTTCTATGTATTGATCTTGACAAGTGATGCTGTGTTCAAGTTAAAAAACAAGGCTTAGAATTTCTTTAAAGAATTGAACAGATAATGGTTATGTTATTGATATGTAGGTCTGCTAGCTAGAAATAGCATTTCTAGTTGAGCAAAAAGCAGAGGTTTTATTGAGTCCTTCATTTCAGTGTACTCATACTTTCTCAACAGGTACAACAGTTCTATTCCTAAAGGGTATAGGAGTTCATTTAGTATAGAAACTATAGAACTGGAGTGCCAGTAGCACCTCTGATTCACTTAAAGCTGCCAGGGAAACTAAACATGATGAGAACAAGGGGAATGACTGGGTCAAATTAATAGAAATAGATTTTTTTGCAAGCAACATAATGATCCTGATCATCAACCTTGAAAAGTAAATTAGAACAAGCAAATTGCTGTTGAAAAATTCTTTCAGCACTCTGCTGTTGCTACTCAGCTAGTCATGGCTCAGCCAGAGACAAGGAAAAAATGCACCCAGTTTTGTATTAACAAAGGCAACATTATTAAAGTGACTGTTTACATAGTGTTTATTGAAGTGTTCAAAGAATATTTGTTGCATCTTCAACCTGCTATTCTCTGGACTAGTGTAGTGCATGAGAGTAAAAATGAGTCGTGTACATTTTAGAAAGATAACTGACAGTTATCTTCAAAATATTCAAAATAACTGAACTGTCTTCAAAATATTTAAGTATCAGTCTTAAGTACTTTCTCTTTTGAAGATTTTCATCTAAGAAATATATCCCATTAGAAAAGACTCATTTATTTGAATATACCTTCCAATTACTTCCAAATGCTTGATAAAACTTTCCTCCCAGAAACAACAATGCGTAGGGAATAATGGGCTCAAAACAATCAAACAAAAAATGAAATAGCTGTGAAGTTAGTGTGTAACAATACATAATATGTGCATGAGAAGTAGCATCAGTGTGAGCACTTGTGTGAGCTACAGTCTTGAACTACTTCATAAAACCAAGTTGAGAACAGCTGAGACAGCAAATGATAACATGTCAATCTGACATTTAAAAATGTAAGAAGCATTATATGTACTGGTAAAATGGGAAATTAATAAAAGTTCAGAAATAATTTTAGTTTTCACCTAAAATGAACAATTTAATCACTATTATGTTTTAGAAGTTGGGAAAGTATAGTACTTAACGGGGATTCAAGTACCATATTTTACTTCGTCTCTTAATAAGTATTAATGAGTGCAATTCAGTATTCTTCAGTCTCTTACGGATGGACTGATTTTTAAAGAACTATTTTCTTGGTTTCACCAAAAGGGTAGGTTGTCAGTCTTCTACATCTCAGACTAAAAATTTATCTGTCACAATTAGCAAAGGATATTAGCCCATGCTGTAGGCTGTTGAGAACCTTTTAGATATTTTATTACTTACCATTTCTGTAACACATATATTTACAGAGTATTATATATTTGATACTTTAAAGTCCAGAAAAATTGATAAAAACTACTTAAAACTTATGAATTACTGTACAGAGGTTTATATTTAAAGTGAATATTTTAAGATTTTCCTGAAGTACTATCTTTGTCTTTGATCTTAAAAAAAATTTTTTTTATAATAAAGCAAATGCCAGCAAATGCCAAATGTCTAGCTCTGCTTTTGCTAAGGAAGTAACCAGGAAAAGTGTTTTGTAATGTGCATAGCTTAATTAATAGTGGCAAGAGGACTTTTTGACTTATGTAGATATCAGTGGCTTCATATTCATAATATGTATTTCCTCCTAGTAAAAGCGCTTGCCATTTTATTGTTTTATTTATTTTAATTTATTTAGGTTTTATTTATTCATGAGAAACACGGAGAGAGAGGCAGAGACACAGGCAGAGGAAGAAGTAGGCTCCATGCAGGTAGCCCGATGTGGGACTTGATCCTGGACTCCGGATCACGCCCTGGGCCAAAGGCAGGCATCAAACCACTGAGCCACCCAGGGATTCCCAAGAGAACATGGCATTTTATTTTATATTAAAGGCCTAAACACAATTGAACATAAGTTATGACTTGAAAATAAAAACTGCTGAGTAATCTAGTTGAAATGGAGACCTTAATTTAGTCAATAAAAACTCAATGTTGAACTTTATTGTATTGTACTCTTATTATATGTCACTCTAGAACTAGACACAAAGACAAAAAAGAAGTAGCATCTGATTTTAAGTGGTACCTTATAACTTTCACAATGTGTTAGCATTGCTGTTGTGTTTTTTAAAAGACTTTATTTATTTATTTGACAGAAGGAGTGAGAGCACAAGCAGGGTAAGCAGGAGAGGAAGAAGTAGGCTCCCCACTGAGGAGGGAGCCTGAAGTGGGACTCGATCCCAGCTGGGATCATGACCTGAGCCAAAGTTAGACACTGAGCCACACAGGCACCCAATTTATTAGCATTATAATATGGAAGACTACTTCTATACATTTGTTAATTACAGAAATTGTTTAAAGAAGTGATGGTTGACGTTCACCAGGCAAACAGGACAGAAGGGCATCCCAAGGGCAACATCATATCTGTGCAGGTGTGTCTGACAAAATTCCAGAAACCTGAACATCTAACATAGTATATACATGGAATGTTTTTTTGGTTCCAGATGTTTGAGATTTGGATAGGTAGATAAATACAAATTTGTAAGGAAAATAATTATTGCTATATTTAACTTCCACCCTAACCTACAAATATAAAAGCATTTCTGCATACTAAATCTACCTCCATTCTATCTCCCCTTCTCCCCTGCCTTGATAATTTTTATGCATATTCACATGTGCTAGTATGAAATGTGCTTCTGTATGACCAATGAACAAAATAGAATGATGTGTAAGTAGGATTACAAAGAGTATATGTGAAGAACTTCTGTAACTTGATGGGGTAATACATGTTATACATAGTTGATGAACTAAAGTTTTCTCTAATTCACCCACAGTAGAACTTCTACCTTTGGAACATATTATTAGCCTTATTTCATTTGAGTATATATACATGTACACATAAACGGGTATAAGTAAGTAAAACAAAAATATAAGCTCTCAAGCACTAGTCTCACCTATTAGTTTACAAACCTTTCCCCTACCTCCCACGTCAATACTCTGAACTTCTTGAGGATAATGACATTTATCTTCCCATCTTTGTATTCCCAGTACCACCAGAAACAAAAGAAGCTTAGTCTTGATTCAGTGAAGTAGCAAAATGTTAAATACATAATAAAGCAGATTGTCTTTCCACCTGAAACAAATCAATGATGTTTGAGTGATTATGGTTTTGCATGTGTGTATAAAATGTTCATTGTGCAAACAGTGGTTCAGTCCACATTCAGCACAGGTGATTTCTGCCCTGTGATTACCATCTTAGCACTATTCAGAGAAATTGTCACCTATTTGTGACACTTCTTCAGCTTACTATGTGGAGCTTTGGCCCAGCCTGTTAGACCAGCAACAGCTGAGGCCTGCAGTTGCTGCCCATCATAGGACACATTCTTTGCAGTTATGCTTCAGTGAATCTTAAAGCACTTGGCGCTCCCTTAGAAATCCTTTCTGGAACTCATTCTACGATAGCTTTGTGAGTTCCCCACTATTCACCAGATTTGATCCTGATTTTGTTCAATATAATATGACCTGATAGACTATGACACCTCTCATCCCATAAAGCCATAGCTTTCAGTGGTTCCCATATACTGATGAAATAGTCACTAGTATCCAAGAATTCCAAGTGGTTATTTTGAACATATCCATTAACCATAAAGGCAGAGTGGTGTAGAGGAAATACACAATCTTTAAAGTCCTACACAGCTGATTTCAAAACCTGCCACTTATAAGCTGGGTGGTCCTGAAAAAATTACTTCTGTGATCTTCTCTTTCCTCCTAGCTCCATAGGATTATTGTATTGAATGATACCAAATTCCCTGCATAAGTATTTCAATCAATGTTCTTTCTCTTGTGGATCAAAAGTTAAGAATGGCCTTTTCATGCAACTCTCTCTGCCTATAATTAGATGGTTATAGCTTCAGATTATCAAAATTATGAGTTGTCCATTTGACCTTGGTGGAGTTTTTTTTGTTCTTGTTTTTATAAGTAAGCTCTATACCCAACATGGGGCTAGAGCTCACAACCTCAAAATTAAGAGTCTCATGCTCTACTGACTGAGCCAGCTAGGTGTCACTGGCCTGGGTTTTGAATGTTCAGCTTATACCATATACAGGAATGCCTATTCCACTGCTTAACTAAATCCTTGGAATTAAAACGGCTGTAGAATTGAGTAGGGGGTTATTTATTTTTATTTAAATTTTAGTTAACATACAGTGCAATATTGATTTCTAGAATAAAATTCAGCGATTCATGATGAATTATTAAACTTTAGTAAAGTTTATAAAAGTTACTAAAGTTTAATAATTCATCATTCATGGAAAGACATTCAAATTCATATTATGAGTCATCTGCCAAAAGCTAGATTGAATGAAAATAAAATCCATACACAGGAACATTGAACAAATACAGTAATAGCCCACAAACCTTTAATAGAGCTTAATTCTGGAAGGCTTTTCTGTATGTCATCCAAGATGTAGTCTGTGCCTTTCATAACTGTTACATGTGAAAGTCATTTCTTCATTAGATGAATCACTGATTAAACCTGAATCTGATGTCTGGTAAGGAAATGAATATATCCAGAATATTCTGAAACACACATTAATGTGACCTATGTGACATTGAGTACAGGAAAAAATGTAAAGATTAAGTGCTTGCTTTCCTAGAATTTTGAATATAAAAGGTAGAGAAATGCTTTAAGTACTAGCTGTTATCTGTGGGATTTTCTTGAAACACTTTTTCCTATAAATAATAAAAAAATGAGTTAGTTGATAACATAATTTTTGTAATGTCTAATTGCTTGATTTATTGATTTGATAAAACACCGAGTTGTCAAATTTAGCTTCCTGGAAAAGAAAACGATAGCGCTTAAATCTTAGTAATGCTAAAAAGGGTTGAAACCCATTTGTTCTTTCCCCTACAAAACACGGACATTTTGTTTTGTTTTACTGGCCCTTTTGCCCAAATTAGTTCTTGAATAAAGTACCCTAAGCTGCAGCTGCAGAGTTCTAATAGCAGGTGGGCATACTCCTTCATCTTCCCCAGGTCTGAGTCTCAACCACAATGCCAGCCAAGCCTCTCTGTTGTCTAAAAGTGGAAAAGTGAATGGCAGGATAACTCGAGGCTTTTGTGGCCCTCAGGGAACTCCTGCTGAAGACCACTCCCCTACACATAAGGAGGGAGGGCCTTGCTAACTTCCCAGGCCTGCATAGGAGGGTTCCATCGCGATGCCCAGTTGGTGGCGCCTGAGAGCTTCCTAGGGGCTGCAAGAACCCACGGCTACTAACAGGTATTTCTCTTTATATTTCTATTTCTACCAAACGTACTGATTTTACATTTTTAATAGTGATATAAAGTTTCCTCCTTAAATTTAAATTAATGAGTATATAACAGTATTAACTATAAGGAATTAAAATTAAATTTAAAAAATAAATTGAAAATGAACGTATATAAAGAAAGATTGAATAAAGAATAGTTCAGGTAGTATATGGCAAACAGGTGGAAATGCAGATGAGTGCACAAAAATTATTTGGGGGTATTTTGAAAATCAAAGTTTGACAGGGAATCAAAATTAGAAATAACTCTTCATTATGCTACTCAAGATAGTTTTTCAATGAAGTCCTCAGAGTAGCTAATAAGCAGTGTAGTCTGCGGAGCATATACTCTGGCTTCTGGGTTAGGCAGACACAGTTCAAATGCCATCTCTGTAAGTCAACCTTGGGCCCAAGATTCTCATTTGTAAACTAGGAGTCTTAACCTCATAAAATTGGTATATGAATTAAATGACATAGCACATATACAGAGAAAGTAGTGGTGTTCATTCATTCCTTTTGACTCACCCTTGAATAATGTCAGCTGTTTCTCTTCGTGACTTCTGAACTGGAAGTAGGTCACAATTATTTCTATTCCAATCTTTTTTTGGTAATATACTAGCAAAATAGAGAAAAGCAGCATATTGAATTTCCCACATTTAAAAAAAATAATTAAAAAAAGATTCCCACATTTACTGCAGCACAGAGAAATCAAAAGTTTGTGTTAGTGTCAAAGTCAGATGTAGATTTTCATCTAGTTAAGGTAACCAACCTCACTGTTTCTCCTTATATGCACACAGTAAATGAACTGACACACACACATACATTCTTGTAACAAGTAATTTTCCTCTCTCTGCTTTGGTAATTAAAAACTAAGAGCTGAAATGTTGACATTTATTTGACCTTTTTTTAGAACTTTTTAAATATATTTTTGTTATTGTCTTTGTATTCCTTTTACTATCCTCTATTTTCTCTTTGTTTTTATGTATCTATTTTTTATTTTGTTATACTACCCTATCCTATTATATTGATCTTTATTAACTGATCTTTATTGTCATTAAATCCTTTATTGTTGGTTTCCTAAAATCATTTTTGGAATAAGGTTAGGAATAATTATATATGCAAAATAGTGTCATTAATCTACAGTTCTCTGGTGACTTCTAACTTTAAGCAGTTCATTCTTGCTAAAACACAGTGAACTTAGTTATGCCACCAATCATTGCTTTACATCAAAAGCCATTAGAATCTGTTTGACTATTTTTTTTAAATGAGACTCACTTCACTAACTCTACCAGCTTATGTATTCAAATACGTATTGTCTTTCAAATTAGTCTCCTCTAGAGATGATTCTAGTGAATCCATCATAGCTAGAAAAATAATGAGGGGACCTGTCTTTGCAAAAGCCTTCAAAGCTAATTTAGAAGCAACAGAAGAAAAATGAACTTTATGATTACCTCTTCTCTTTAAATAAAACCCACTTTATCTAGCTTAATCAACTGTCTTATATATTCATGGGACTTAATTTTTAAGAAATCAAATATTTGGAAGGATATGTCACATGATTTGAAGGCCATTCACAAAAAGGAATTTCTAGGAAGATTGGTACAATGACAGACTTAATGCAATAAGTAGTTAGCAAAAGAGACTACTTTGAAGTTCTGTTGCAAGTTTGGGTGTTTGTTTTTAAAAGCATCTCAGTAATAAGCACATCCTATACAGCATAATTTACATGTTTCTAGGAAGCCAAAATATTTTCAATGTCAGTATTTGAGTTTTGTTTGATTAAGGCATAAAGATAAATTTTTTAAGTAAAAATAATAATTGAGGGTCTTTATAGCAAAGATCTATTTTGACAGGAAAATTGCAGCAATTGAACCTGTAGTGTATAGGACTGAGACTGTCTAAAATGAAGGGGAAATAAAAGAGTATTTATGCATGTGTTTTCATATTTTAATTTGAATATGCTATCAAGAGAAACTAAAAATTACGTTTTATCGGTCATTCTTATAACAATCTTGTGATTATTTGTATTTAATGTTAAATATTACCTGACATTTTTACTTCAATTATTTTTAGCTATTCACCCACAAATGTAGTAAGGCTGACATAATTACCCCCTTTTAATTCACAAGAGACATGTATTTACCTATTTGTTATAAGGCTTTTCAAGCTAGCATGCTGTTACTGTGACAAGACTACTTTGAACACGCAGTAGGTAAAATAATATCGTTTATTGCACAGCAATCTCAATAGTTGAATGTTAATTTAACCAGTAAAGACAAAGTAATTGTAATAATATGAATGCCTTTCTTCTGATGAAGTTAAAAATGGAACTCAAATTGTACTTATATGGCTCATTGGCTTAGTAATCACTGGAAAAATCAACCACGGTGGAAAGCCTATTTGCAAAGCTGCAACTAGTTACTAGAGATCCTGGTTGAAGATCTCAGTGTAGAATCAGTGTAGATATTAGTGGCATGCTAGAGTATTTGACACCCAGAGTGGATTATTTTTAATACCTATCACCTCCATGTGACAAAATTATTTTCAGTGATAATCATGAAAGGAATGAGAATGATGTCCAGAAAAGAAGTGCAGATAGTGAAAATTATGGATATTTTGGGAGTTATTTTACTGGCTTAATAATCATGCCAGTGAAAAAATATATAAAATGAAATATTTATTACATATCACATAAAAAATACTAATACTTATAAATAAATGTATTGTAAAAGGGCGAATTTATACTTACATAGTGGTAACAGTAATGCATAATCGCTTTATGGTAATGATATGATTTTAATAGAATCAACACATCTGCAAAAGGTACAATTTAAACAGCTAAGTCATACCACTGATGTAGCATTCTATTTCCTGAAGTTATTCTTTAGTTTAAAACAAATGATTAATAATAAAAAATATTATTCAAATTTAGTAAAAGATTTGATGTTTGAAATAAGATTTACACTGCTCAAACAAAAAGTTCACACTTCAGATTTAGCATGCTGTCTCACTGTTGTAATAAAAACTTCCCAGAATGACTGGATCAAAGTGACTCAAGTTCTGTTTTTAATCTTTAAAATCACTATGCTAAATTATTAATTTCAAATATATTCTTTAAACACATGATTATGTTGTACCACAAAGTTTGGAGGCAGACATTGCTTTCAGAGCAGACTTTAACAATCCTCAACTGCTCTTACTGTGGAAAGGAATGAACACAGCCAAGTCCATGTGTGGGGGCCGATGGTATAATCGGAAATCCTCCAAATTAACTTACATATAAGATGCATTGTTTATTAAAGGATAAGTTATCAAAATGTACTAATCTGAAATTTACATTTTTTTCAACTCAATAATCAGTAATTATTTAGAATTTAGACTAAAAAGAGACAGTTTTGGAGAGGATTGCTTTGCACTAACATTATTTAGGATTGTTGGCACATGGCAATAAAAAGCAGTCCAATGTTTGGCAGTTTTATTATTGTGTTTACGCTTCTTTACAGACAATGCCTACCTACATCAGGAAGTGATGACCCTGCCTTCAACACATGACAGCATACTTTCATTTCATCTCAACCTACAAAACATGCTTTGTTTTGTGCCAGGTACATCAACTGAAGAAAACATGCAAAGATGTTCTGCACCAATCTTTACATGTTCATCAGTATTCATTTAGTGAGGAGAGCCAAGGGTTAATTAGTAAAATTAACAATTGTTAAATAATTGTGTGTCACTGCTTCCCAGGGCTATTGTACAACATGATTAGTTCTGCATCATATCCCACCATTAACACTATATAAAGTCTTTTTTTTTTTTTTCTAACCCAATTACCTGGAGAAGAAACTCAGAGCTGGCCTTCAGTTGGCAGCAGGCTCTCAGCTTGTTTGCTCCATCTTTAAGCACATTCCTGGTTTCCACTCTGTTCCTTCCCCAAACCTAGAATCTCAGTGCTACTGTGATCCTAGATTTCTGGGATTGCTTCCAAAGTTTATATGTCTAAAGTATTAGGAACCTTGTGTGTTCCACCATTCAGAGGATTCGCTTTTCAAATAGGAATCCAGAGTGAGTAGAGCTTAGCACAAAGACCAAAGGTGCAATTTCTGACAGAGTGTTCTGTATCTTGGGTTTAGGGCCTTCATACCACCTTTCAGATCACACCATATCCACCACACTCTGCTTATCTTACTCACATGGTCCATCTGATACAAAGACAGTCCATGTCATTACCTCAAGATTGCAAATGGAGCATTAGGACTCAAAGCTTATGAGAGCTTGTATCTTGATTACGACAAGTTTTCAAATCTTTTTATAAAATCACAAGACTTTTCTATCCCAAAACTAAAACAAAAGGCAGTGCTGGTGACTATACAATCATGACTATATCACTTATTTTCTTTTTAAAGATTTCCTATATACTTAAGAGAGAGAGCATGCTCTAGCAGAGGGGAGGGGCAGAGGGAGAAGCAGACTCCTCGCTGAGCAGGGAGTTAGACTGGGTCAAGATCATGACCTGAGCCTAAGGCAGACTCTTAACCAACTGAGCCACCCAGGCACCCCATGACTATATCACTTATGTCAGTTTCTTCATCCAAAAAATGTGGGAATAAGGCAAGATGACTAGATGATCTATAGAGTCCCTATTACCTTCTATATTTCCATTGTACATATAAAACAAATGTTATAAGCCAAATTTTATCATCTGTGGGCACATAATTTTGGGAAAAGAGAAGAGACAAATTGTTAATAATAGGAAAATGTGATGGTGGTGACAATGATCACAGGACTCATGGTTAGGAAAGCAAATTGTGGAGTTATAAAAATCTTTCCCTTATGGAAGTTTCTTGATTGGGTTTCTCTCTCCCTTTCCTTTTACTTTCCCTTGTGGTTTTTGTTGAACCATGGCCCACCATCCCACACCCGGGGGCTCTTCTTAACAAATGTTAACAAAATCACTAAGAAAAATATATAGTATGTC